GAAAAATGGAGATCTAAATGAAGAAACGATGTATTTCAGCAAGTATTAAAAACATTTTAGTTTTATTTTAGGCCTTCTTCAAAATACCTATGCCTACAGCAGATGATTTTTTTGCTGTAAAACCAAAATAGTTTCATCCATGCCGACATTCCGGTCGGTTAGCGTGAGCCCTGACTGAACTCTGCAAAAACTTCACATCGACTTCGCATCGCGATGTAAAACAAAATGTCGGAAAACTTTTCTTTGACGCATGCGCATTTGCATAAATGTCTACACACACACATACACACTACACACAATAAAAAACATAGGAAATAGCAAGAGTGATTACAATAGTTCCTATTGCATTACATGCATAGGAACTAAAAAACCATTTTCACTGAGTACGTCCGACATTACTTTTCACAGGTCTAGCTGGGTTAGCCCTGTACAAATAGTTTAATTTTAATTGTTTTTGTTTTTAGCTTTACTGTAATTATAGGCCTCCCCAGAAGAAGAAATAAAATAATTATTTATAAATCAACAATTATATATTTTTTTGCACATGTAAGCCCTACATTAGGCCTAGCTCCGATTAATATATATACAGTTTACACTTATTTTATTAATATTAACATTATTTAATAATGGTGCGCCTAGGCCTCATTTTACAATGTAATGTTTTACTTTTTAGCTTATTAACTTGGTATACATGTATCAAATTAAATATTTACTTTAGTTAGCATTATTTGCTTAATGTTTAATTACAAATTGTATGACATTTTTATGTTTGTAAATGTAGGATTTAAATTTTGTTTATGCAGATCTGATAACAAGTAGGCATAATATATTTCCGTAACATGATCAATTACTGTACATTAAAACAACCAAAATAAAAAGCTAAATTTAAGAGTCAAACATAGTACAGTACTAGACTCAGAAAAATACTTGAATCAAAGATGTAATACGGTGTCAGGGGTGGTGCCAGAATTGGTACGACGAAGGGGGGGGGGTGGTCCAATGTCTCTGAGGCCTGATCCTCAATGAAAAGAAAGTGTTCCTGGGGCAAAATGAAAATTAAAGGGATTCAAAGGCTTATTATTTAATCGATTTCAGAGTCTACTAATAGGCCTATGTAGAAAATACATGTAGGCCTACAACGAGGCCAACACCGGTCCCCTTCTGGGCGTCACCCCTGTGTAGACAAATGACTTTATATGGGGCCTAATATATTAATAGTTTTTGAAAAACGGTTGGGCAAGATTGCATATAAATATTAATGTTTACAGACTTATATAAATAGGCATATGCCCAGTAGACGAGCACAGTCACAGCAGCTCTATCGAGGCGAGGCTATGATATGATTGGCTATGAAATTAATAATAGTAATAATAACAGCAACATCATTGATAACAGCAGCCAATAATAATTATTAGGCCTATTTAAGTGGTGGCTGGCGACGGTCTAAGATGACAGATAACGCATCTCCAAAATGTAAACCCGAAGCACTAACTACAAATCCATCGGTTATAGCATGTGCAAATTAGTTTTTCCTTGCGTTGCGGTGCTTGCGTTGCGAAAAGTTGAATCGATTAATCTTTTCGCAAACAACGCAGAGACGATCGGCAAACAACGCAAAAGTTGAGTAGGGTCGGGGTTGCGTTGCATTGTCAAGTTTGCGTCATCGGTTCCAACTTGGAAGCCGCAAAACCCTCACGTTGCGTCACTTTGCGTCGATACGTTGAGTCTGCATCGTTGCGTTGCATCCTAGTGGGAACCAAGCTTTAGTGATGCTGGGTCAATTTAAAAATGCTTTTTGTTCAAAGTCTGAGATATCAGTGAAGTGGTGTTGCCTCCATAAATTTGCCCGGGGAGGGGGGAAATGTTCGATAGGGGGTTCGAACAAAGGCGCCAAGCCGCATTGAGGGTTTAGGAATAAGATTCTCTGGTATCAGCAGTGACGCTAGAAATCTGCCAACGAGGAGTCCGACATAGGGGTCCGAACTAAGGGGCTGTCAATGCCTTTGACGATGGCCCAAAATAAAAAAATCCCAGTAATTTCCGATTTGGAAGATAGAAAATTGATATGTTTAGAACATTTCCAATTTAAATAAAATACAAAAAAAAATAGATAACTCATTCGCATATAAAAAAATGAAAATATCAAAGACATATATACACAGGGTTCGTACGTTTTTGAACAAGCAAATTTCTCAAGACATTCAAGGTCAAATTTTTCAACTTTCAAGGACACAATATATAGCTTAACAGTAAAATATCAGCGATTTTACGACTGATTATAAAACATATATGCTGTACTACTTGTAAATGCATGTTAGTGCATAAATAAGTTTTGGCGATGGACCTGTCTCTTTTTCTCACGCTCGTGGGAAATTAAGCTTTTCTCACACATGTGTAAAATTTGATTGTAAGCAAAGGAATTCCCACGAGTTTGGGGAAGTACCGGTAAATGTGCGAGTACAACAATGGTCTTATCAGCGTCTTTTGTGATACCAGCGCGCCTGAATAACTTGTTACCGCCTGTCTAGGGTTGTTGTTCAGCGAACAGCTGTGGCGAAGTTGACATGCATACAGTAAAACAATGGGTGTACGTTGCGGAGACGTTAATGCATCTCATTTCATGTATATTTAAGTGTTTTATAAACGAATGATGTACTATATTAATTAATTAATTAATTTTTATGGTTATGCTCTATTCTCAAAACATCATTATACTATACTGTATTATTTATTATATTATTCGTTACTATTGGGCATAACATTATTATTAATATTTAGGTCTATTATTATTAGGCCTTAGTTGTAGGCCTACAACTTTTATAATCTACTCTACAGCAAAATGTTAACATACGGCACCATCCTACCGGCACTGGTCTGCTGCAGACCAGCATTGTTTTTTTAATGATTTCGTAAACTTCAGAAACATAATTAATGAAATATCTTGCAGTAAATTCAAGAACTTCTAACAGCAAACGCCCTTTAAACACCATTCACTAAGAAAATAACTGTAGACGTACATGTTCCCATCGTTACTTTAATCGTTAATTAACTGCCTTGCGCTGGATAGGGCCAAAACATGCCCATTCGTGTTTTACAAGTGTGAGCGTCTGGAGAGTGATGAATTACCCAAAGCGAATTCACCGGGCTGAGCATGTGCGACAAGACCTGTTCAACTGATTGAAAGTTTAGTATTTCAGTACTGTTTATAACAGTATAGTAAGTGTCTTTGATAACATTCCTGAATTGGCGGCGTACAAAGACTTGACCTGATTCTCACAAGAGTATTGTGGGAACCTACTTGTGGGAACGTTTCTCATTCAATTTACTGTTACTAGGCAACTTTTAGTACTGCAATTAATGGTAAATGATCATTTACGTGGAGGTTGAAAAATACAGGGGGAGTCTTTATGGCCCAAAATAGTGATTTTAGACCACACTGGTAATGTAATTCGACAGGCAAATTACAGTAATATTTTTAGCAAATTTCTTTGAAAAAATTTCGTAGGCTTAGGGCCTAGGCCTAGCTAGGTATACAGTAATTTCATTTTACAGTAGTTTGGAACGATATCAGGAGTGGGGGTGGTGGCAGTGGCCTACTAGGCGTCCACACCAGTTGGGCCCAATCGTCGTCACCCGAAGTTTTCATTACGATGATCAAGAATGTATACTATCTAGGCCCTAGGCTAGGCTTAGATTGCTCACTCTGCTACGTATACTACTACCGCATAACAAAGAGAAAGCGACCCACGCGGTGCATTCTTAAGTTTTACACACATTATTAAAATGTATTAGAGACGATAACACGATATCACTGACTAAACGATCTACCACCCTCGTATCGCAGTAACTACTATACTGAACTAGGCCTAATGTTTTTGTGAACTAGAGTGCTGACAAGATGGCGGAGCAATGCATAGTTAGACAGTCGGCTGCCTTTGTATCTTCACTTGTCTTCAATTTTGCATTCAAAGGGTACATTGCTGCATAGCCAACTGTCGGGGATATAGTACCTTCATATGACTACTCATACAACAGAAAAAAACGTCACATGGAGTTAGTGACTATGGATCTAAATGAAAAAAACGATGTATTTCAGCAAATATTAAAACCTTTTTGTTTTATTTTAGGCCTTCTTCAAAATACCTATGCCACAGCAGTTGATTTTTTTTGCCGTAAAATCAAAATAGTTTCATCCATGCCGACTTGCGCATCGGTTAGCGTGAGCCCTGACTGAACTCTGCAGAAACTTCACATCGATCTTCGCATCGCGAGGTAAAACAAAATGTCGGAAAACTTTTCATTGATGCATGCGCATTTGCATAAATGTCTACACACATACTACACACAATAAAAAACAAAGGAAAAACAGTGAGAGTGATTACAATAGTTCCTATTGCATTACATGCATAGGAACTAATAAAAAAGCAGACATACAGATTAAATGTGTGTTCGATAACTAATATAATGCAAGCTTTTTGTGTTTTTAGTACATTTTGATGGTAAATTATTAGGTTTTAAAATGCCTATTCCAGAAAGCCTATTCTAAACCATTAAAATTATGAAGTCATTCAGGTGTAATGAACAGTAACCAACGTCCAGAGAGTGCCACCTGGTGTTGTGACGACACGACTCTGGTACTCTATATTGTGCTCTTTCTGGTTGTTTGATCACCAAATAATGTTCTTTATATGCATTTCGTAATCATACCTAGCATTCACAATGTCAATAAGTTGCTGACCCCAACACTATCGTTTGTCATCATAAACATGTGCGCTCAATCTGACGACACTTGTGTTGGTAGTTCGTTGTTCTGGTTAGGTTTTACATTAATATAGTGATTATTATACTAGAAATAGAAAGATCGAACTAATAATAAATAAATACAACAAACTTGATTTTATTAAACACTCTGACCGCCAGGGGTTTCAAAAAATAGTATCAGCCACCGCCAGACTATTTAGCGAATTTTAACACTTTTCCGAAGCTCATTGAGAGTGCGTATGTGATCAGATTGACATTTAATTAATACTACAAGAACCACAAACATCTTAGCATTACACTTTATTCTAATCACAATCTATAACCTGTAACAATAAAATGAAAATTACTCACTTTCAGAGATTTACGCAATTTTGCCCAATAAAGCTGAGATAATCGCGATTTTGCTATGCTTGATGTAAACAAACACTGACGCCCGAAAGAGACATCAACCAAAGCTACCCTACATGGTATCGCTAGGCTAGTCTAGGCCTAGCTAAAACAAAACATCAATATTTAAAGATTTATGACATTTTAAAAATCATAAATTATACATCTAACATCATCTGATGGCATACTTTCGCCAAAATCCGCATGGTTAGATTCCAGTCCTAGCCACGGGTTTACGCTAACCAGCGCTAGCTATTACGCGAATTCTATCTTTTTTCTTCCATTTTGGATACTTTGAAATAGTGAAATACTTACGGTCCAGACCGAACATAATGTTCAAATTGTTAGTACATGTCGATAATTACCCCATCTATCGAATTCTGTAAAAAAACCTGAAACACGGAGATCTCCGTGTTTGGCGGTTAAGCGTTGCGTTACCAAACACGGAGATCTCCGTGTTTGGCGGGCAGAGTGTTAAGAAAAATATACTTATCACTTAATGTAAAAGCGCAATCAGACATTTTTTACGGCAGTAATTGGTCGATGATGATGTCATCAAGGGCAAAGACCATTCGTAAAATCGACATTCATAAAATGGACGTTTTACTGTAATTAACTCTCTGTATTGATATGTTGATGTAATTTAATAAGACCCTGTGCCACGAGCATTTAAATACCCTAGGATAGGTACAGTCTGAGCCACTTTGGGCCGCGATAGGAGTGATGTTTCATCGTGTAGCCTACCAGAATGTGTGAAGAGTGAGGAGACATCGCGTCTTGGCTTGTACGTTTGGTGCATGCTATGGGGACAAATTTAAAATAGGCCAATGTACGTAAATCGGGAATAAATTGTATTTTAATAAATTTAGCATTAACTCCGTAAATATTCAACCAATTTTTGCGACTTACCCCTAGGCCTAGGCTATGTTTGTAGCAGTCTGCTGCTCTGTCTGTATCTGTAGTTCTGATTGTAAAACCTAGGCCTACTTGGTGCAGCTTAAGATGAAACTACTGCCAAATAATATAATATTTCAGATGTAGACTGCGTCTACATTAAGGCTAAGCCAAGCCACTACATTAGGGTCTAGGCCTACTAGGCCTAGCCTACGGCCTAGCCTAGGACCTATTAGTGTTTAGAAGCTGAAGTTGGATTGGAAAGGTGATTGATTCCGCTGATGATGTGAGCAATACTGTACTTACAGAAATTTGGACACTGTTTCCGTTGGGTCCGTCCTAGATTTGTATTTTTTCAAGTTCGTTCTCCAGAGTGATCGTTGTTGGATCTATGGAAAATAACGATTACAATGTTTTTAATGTGCAAAAGCATATAACATTATATAAAACTAAAAGATAACTTCGATATCAAACAAAACATGTACACCATAATACGTACCACGTAGAAAGGAAATGACCGCTTTACATCGCGATACAATGTTATATCAAGCCGCACGTGCAATTGTGTTGGTGTCGGCGGCGGCGGCCTAGCCTAGACGGTAGGACTAGCCTATGTTCACTTTAAAATCTATGAAATTTCTATTATTTTTTAATGAATTTCAAAATATAATACATTTTATTCTTTGTAAGATTTTAAGTTCATATGGATACAAATATTACTGTATAGAAAGCATGAACTACTGTAGTCAGAACATGTTAATAAAATAGTGCACGCCGAAGCACTTTCAATAATACAGTAATAAAAAGACGGTACAACGTGTCTTCCTCAACATCAGGACAGGTCATTTTGAGCCACAGGGTTCAAAAGTCAATGTTTACAAATATCACGTCAAAATACGACGCATGACACGTGTGCATTGAGTGGTAGGCCTATATGGCGGTAATAGTAATTAGAAAAATAGATACTGTATTATATGCTGTTCAGATTAATTTTTAAAGGGGGGGGGGGGGGCGGGGATGAGACAAGTGGCCATATATTGCTTATTTAACCTTTCCTGAGTTCGGGAAAAATACTTTAAAAATTCAAAATGTTGAGATGTAAGGATAATTACAGAAACAAAACATGATATGATGAGACAGGAAAATCAGATGACAAACGAGGCTGATCACTTTTTTCAGTAGCTTGGTAGCATTTTCTAACCAACTCATTAATATTCAAGACAAGTCTGTCAATTAATTTTTGGCCGGCGAGCAGCTGATCGAAAAATCGTCCCGACGATCGAGCGAGTAGCCTAGATACGGTACACTAGTGTGAAGTCGTGAGTTTTTGTGATCGTTTACGTACGCAGTTACAGAGAGACGGTTTAGTCAACGTCAATTCATGGAGGAATAATTCAATTGAATTAATAAACGTATATCAGTCCGATGACTTGACTTGTTTGTTTATAATTAGGCCTACACCTATTCCTAGGATTAGCACAGTCAGTGTCTACCCAGCAGCAGTAGCGCACTCCTGTCCGGGACACTGCTCCAGTCCCGCAGCCTTATCCAGCTGACGGTAAAGATATACAGTAGTAGGTTTCTACTACTAGCCTAGCCTAGACTTGTCATGCCATGCCATCTTTGTCACATTAATCGTGCTAGTGCATTTTTTTCATAATAATAGACCTAGAGGCCTACTAATAATAGTATACTATAGGCCTGGTCCTATGAAAAACTGTCTAGGCCTAGGCCTAAATGTCTAAAAAATGCACTGTCTAAATAAAGGTGATGTGCTATTAACACTACAGTATATCATCAGAGCCAACACCAATTCCTGTAACAATAAGATTATTATTGATATACTATAGGCCTGGAAGCTAGGCTATACAACAATAACGCCCCATTAAATAATAACATGATGCATGTTACTCCAAACCTACTTTCAGCTGTTGTTGAAATGTGGAATTCAAATAAAATATTATACATATATATTTTTGTAGGACAAGATATGTAATAGGCCGAAACATGACACTCTCCTCAAATAGATATTTGCCAGTCGCCATGATATGAGACAAACACACCACAACATTTGCCATGAGTACAACCACCCAACATTGGCATCTACGAAGGAAGGTGGTACAAAGCATACAAGCATCCAGCAAGACGTTAGCAAGAAACACTCTGGTTGTTTGCTGAAACTTGTAATGAAAGCTATACACA